CTTTCTCTTCCTTATATACACTTTTACAGCATTGTCATTTTAAAAAGTCACTTAAATGTTCTGTACTTTATTTTCCCAAAAGTTAAATGGGAATAATATGACTTTCCCAGGTTGCTATTTTGTAATTCAATTGTATTTCATACGGTAGTCAGCACCCACTGTATTCCAGGCACTGTGCTGTCAAGAAGTAGAGATAATACACCAATCGTGGCCCTGAGGAGCACACATTAAAGAAATACAGACATATGTGAGCAAACACATTTCCGTATAGCAATAGGCAAGAAGACATTTCTGTGGAGAGTGAGGGGAGAGGTAATTGCTATGGGGCCCAGCCAAGATCAAAAGGGCCCCCTGGAAGCAGTCATGATTGAGCTGGGTTTTAAAGGATAATTATGAGTTTCTCAGCAGGTACGAGGGAAGGGCATTCCAGACAGAGGGAATAACGTATGCACAAGCATGGCAGCCTCATGGTCTGTTCAAAGAAAGCGGTTAGAGACATAGGATTCTGGTGAGAACTGAGTGAGATAATGAACATTTTACCTCGTTTTACAAAAGTCAAGTTTTTTTTTTTTCCCTAGCACGTCACCAGCATTTTTTAAATGACAAAAAGTACACCAAATGTTAATAAACACTAACCAAGTAGGACTTGACTAATTGTTTCCCGCTGAGCCCTGTGGCCCATGAAAGCATGGCATTATTTAGGGGACATGACTCTGGAACCATGATTCACAGCAATTCCTATGTGATTACGCCTTTGGTCTGAGCCCCGCACCCCGTCCCTTTCTGGAACTGTGGTTGAGAGCAGAATGAGCTGACTTGTACTTCTTTTCTCAGGCCTAGAGCTTTTTGAAAAATTGCGGAGGTTCTGGGATCATTTGTGTCATAGCAGATCCTAACTTCTCACATAGCCCCATCACCCACCTGTGTTCCTGTGGGAAACTCTAACGGTGAGAATTGAGACAAATCATTTGTTAATCTCAAATCTGAAAATGTGCAGTGTTTTCACCAAGTGTGGGTTATTCTGCTATCTACTACAGTAATTATTGCTCCATTTGCCTCCTTATAGCCCTGAAAACAGTGTAGAGTACAGTTTACATACCAAGACAGTTGACATGGAGTATTCATTCTTGCTGTCCAAGTGACAGAGTCCATCATTAGGAATGACAATGCCTGCCAGTTTGCTGTCCATTCCAAAATGAGAATCAGCATCACTCACAAAGACCAGGAGATGGAGGGAGTCATTCCGCCAGCCAATTTTTTCCTACAGGAAGAAAGAAACATTTGAGTTGTATTAAATAGAGGCAGACATTTACTGAGAGTGAATCAATTAAGATTGGACACATTCAGATTAAAAAAGTTATATTGCTGGTCTATTTCAGCCTTTTTCATCTATAGTGAGTTGATAATATTAAAAACACAAAATTCCATGACATTTGCTTTTTCCTGGACAACATTTTCAGATGATTTATGCTTCAGAAAAAAAGTTTCACTACAATTAGTATCCAATTGATCTTGACTTTTACATATTTAATTATTTTTACTGTCTAGCTTTCAATTTACCAGAAAAATGAGGAGAGAAGGTCGTAGATTATCCCAAATCCAAGCTGAAGCAAAACTAGTCAAAATGCAGTACAAAATGGACTCAGCGTAAGCCTGTTCTATTGAAATGTCATCCAACATTTAGGCACATATTTCTCTTTCTACTGATATCATCCAAAAATTATAAATGTAATAGAAGGATAAGAATTGCTTATTCAAGTGTGACCCCCAAGGTACTGCTAATTTAGATGGTCTGTTGCTGTTTCTTAGCAGAGCTCTCTCCTCTGATTAACATCAGCCCAGATCTAGTTGCACAAAAGCTCATTTTGGCTGCACCATCACACCTTATTCTTTTTCTTCCTTCCCTAATTCCTTGGCCCTCCCACCTTCTAGTAGCTTCAGTCCTGTCTGTTTCCTGATATTTTCCATGAAGAGCTATCACCTGACGTCAGGGAAATCATTCCTGTGGATACGTGTCTGATTGTCAAGGAGAAGTGGTGTTCCTGCACTGCTATACAGACAGTGTGGCTTATTTTATTGGTTTGAAACAATAAATATATAATCATATGTAGAGGTTTATACTGGTTCAGGGGCATTTTTACTTTTTCATTACTTTCTGTCTTTGAAATTATTAACTCAAAAACTTAATCTGATCTCAATCTTTGAAAATTAGTCATACATAACTTGTTTTAGTCAAATTTCCCCAATACTTCTACAATTTTATTAGATTATTCAAATATTAGGCACAAAAATGTCCATCTTAATATGATTGAATTAAAAATTCAATAAAAATTTTATTTTAAGAAAAATATCAAAAGGAGAAATATGGCAATTAAAGGAAAGATAAAGTTAGCTAAGCTTTTCAAAGTAGATGTGTTAACAAAAGATAAAATTTGTGTTATCAGACTGAAACACTATTCCCCTCAGCGTACCTTACACACAGCTGCTTGCATAATTGCATCAAATCCACCTTCGGGTGTGTCAATATTAGCAGAAATTTTCTGTTTCTTCACAATTTCATTGAATCTTTCTGCATCATTCGTTAGTGGCAAAATATGCTTGAACCCAAATGTAGGTAAGCAGAAATATGGAATACTACTGTAAAAGTAAAATGTGAAAATATTTTTGATGAAATAATATAAAACACAATTAATAGATCTCATAGACTTGCAAAATTTCTTAAAAGAAGATGAGTTTTTCTGAAGTGCTGACTCTGTAACTTGGCTATGAATCTCATTGTTAAGTTTATTGTCACCATCTCCCACACATTTCCTCAAAAATGATCATATTAGCTAACACTGAGAGTTTACTGTGTGTCTTACACTTGCTCAAGCTCAGATAACAGATAATCAGATATTCAGACTCCCCACTCCTGTGTGTGTACATGTGTGTGTGTGTGTGTGTATAATTACTACCTTCTCTTGCCCCTCAACCAAAAATCCACCATTAAGTTTATATGACAACAATTTCTTTGTATTCCGATATCTTAAGCTGTCATCAAGTATGAGTCACCCTGTAGCAAGACAGAGAGAAAACTTTTGTATTCCTCCTCTGCTGCCACCTGTACACCCAGCGCTGCCTGCCAAGGCCCAAAAATCAGAGCAGGGCTCTCGGTTCTAGAGTCCAACTCTACTGTGACTGAATAGATGGTTGTAGACCAGCCTAGGAATAAAACCACCATTTAAAACAGTTTATATATGAGAAAGATACCATGTTAAGATATCTGACCCCAAAATACTGCAGTAGAACAGAAAGAGCTGATCATACATTCAGCTATGTCTTATTCTGAAAGCCAGTTAGTAGCTGTACATGAAACTTTGGGCAAGTTACTCAGCTCTTCTGAGCTTTGTAAGAAATTTGCATCTTTGTTGGTTAGAATTATTTGCTTATATAGATCTTACTAGGACTCTTTGCTTTTGGAAAGTGGAATAAATGTTAATTTAGTTCACTCAGCAGATTAATGTGCTGGGAGACCAATGTAGCTAAAACAAAGCAGAATGTCAGAGTCAGGTCATGCCAGGAAACTTTGAGTGGAGGCTGCCCCTGTCTGGTCAAATTTCTTCCTCTAATAAATGCTCATATTTGGTTGTTACTTTCTTAGTATAGCAATTGAAGGAAATAGATGCGCATCACCAAATAACTTATTTTGAATCTCTCTGCAACAATAGATTTGTTTTTTAAACGCAAGATAATTATGAAACACAATATTAAAAAAACGCTACTTACATTTTTTGTTAAAATTTTAAATAAATATTTACAAAATAAGACTGTAATTGTATATACTAAAAGGTTGATACCATCTTTTTTGAGTAGGAGTAGAAATAATTTCCATTTTCTTCTGTTTGTTTGTATTCTCACATGGGCTTGCTATCACCTTTGCAATAAGGAACTATACTGTCTACTCGTATATGTTTATGTGTGTACATATAAAAAAATCTAAGCATTTCATGGTCTGGTTTTCTCTTTTACAAAACTACAATGAATTCCTCATTGTTGGCGTCAAATTCAAAATAAAACAAAATAAAACAAAATGCCAAAACCTATATAAAATGAAGTTAAAAAAGAATACCTCAGAATGTTGGATAGAGGGATAAAATTTGACCTTTGTGCTATAAAATATTTTTAAATGCACATTACAACTCATCTACAAATCTGGAAATGGAGAAATTATGGTTTTTTGTTGTCATATCTCAGACAACAGCATAAGAGAGACTTCTTTCAACAATGTAAACCACCTCAGCATTCTTACACGGTGAAATAAATTTTCAGTGACCCTCCATCCAATGTGGATGAAGAAAAAAAGCAACTTTAAAAGGCATTACAGATTAAATTAAAACAGGTTTTACAAGTGTTATACACAGACCTACAGAGGACCCTGAGACCTTTTCAGGGAGTCCTTAAGATCAAACTTTCCACAATAATGAAAGATGTTATGCGTCTTTTTCCCTGTGTTGACATTTGCGCTGATGATGCAAAGGCAATGGTGAGTAAAACTGCTGGTGCCTTAGCATGAATCAAGGCAATGTCACGAAACCGTATAGTTGTCCTTATGTTTGTTAAGGACAAATATGGCAAGCATTTACCATAATGATTTGAAAAATGCCAGTTTCACTTCATTGTTCTTGATGAAGCAGTAAAAGTTATTAGTTTTATTAAGTCTACACCCTTGAAAACATGTTTTAAAAAAATATTTCTGTGTGACCACATCAG